TGTCTAACTGCATCTCATGCTTTGCTTAAATTCTAAACACCTCCCCTTCCCAAAATAAACAAAACGGAAGCAGACTGGCCAAGTTCGCCAATGACACCAAACTTTGGGGCAAAGCATCCACACCAGAAGACAGGCGAGTGATCCAGGCTGACCTGGACAGGCACAGCAAGCGGGCGGACGAGAATCTGATGGTGTTCAACGCCGATAAATGCAAGGTTCTCCACCTTGGGAAGAAAAACCTGCAGCATCCTTATAGGCTCGGCAGTGCTATGTTGGCTAGCACTATGGAAGAAAGAGACTTGGGGGTCATCGTTGACCACAAGATGAACACGAGCCTGCAGTGCGATGCTGCGGCTAAGAAAGGGACCCAAAAGCCGGCCTGCATCCCTACATGGCCGCAGCTGGAGTACTGCGTCCAGTTTTGGGCTCCACAATTCAAAAAGGATGTAGAGAAGCTTGAGAGAGTCCAGAGAAGAGAGACGTGCATGATCAGAGGTCAGGGAAGCAGACCCTACGATGACAGGCTGAGAGCCCTGGGGCTCTTTAGCCTGGAAAAGCGCAGGCTCAGGGGTGATCTGATGGCCACCTATAAGTTTATCAGGGGTGACCACCAGTATCTGGGGGAACGTTTGTTCACCAGAGCGCCCCAAGGGATGACGACTAGGTCAAATGGTCATAAACTACTACAAGACCGTTTCAGGCTGGACATAAGGAAGAATTTCTTTACTGTCCGAGCCCCCAAGGTCTGGAACAGCCTGCCACCAGAGGTGGTTCAAGCGCCTACATTGAACACCTTCAAGAGCAAACTGGATGCTTATCTTGCTGGGATCCTATGACCCCAGCTGACTTCCTGCCCTTTGGGCAGGGGGCTGGACTCGATGATCTTCCGAGGTCCCTTCCAGCCCTAATGTCTATGAAATCTATGAAAACCAAAAGCAAAAACCCAAAGTCTTTAGCCAAGGTAAAATAGGCAGCTACAAAGAAAGTGAAAGATAGTCTCGTTACTAGACAACTCAGTGATGACCATCATAGAGATGGGCCTGTAGCTGCTCATGTCTTCCAGGCGAAATTGCCCTAATGTTGTTTTTGGGCCCAGACATCTTTTTGATATTTAAACCAACTGAAAAGGAGAAACCACAAAAGAATTCAGGAGAAATTTATGGTAGGAAAGAACTATAGGAACTTGGCTTGAATGTGGCAGAGAAGTTACTAAACTGGGGTCAACACTTACCTAGAACTCAGATTATTTTGTCCTTCTGATTACAAAAGGCTCTTGGGACATAAACAACCAGCAAACATTTTGCTTATTTTGCTTAGAAACTTCAAGACTAAAGCAAGGATTGGGTTTTACAAGTTTTTGTTTGTTTGTTTTTTTACTAACTAGGCCTCCAGACATGTCACAGCATGAAAGCACAGGAAATAAATGTATACTACTTGTAGCATACTGCATATTTCCTACTTAAAGAAGCCCTTACCTCCTCACATACAGCTAATACTCAAAATATTTTGCAGATGTACCAGTAAGTGAAATTAAGGCCATCACCACTAGAGTATTGTGTTCAGTCCTGGTGTCTGCAAATCAAGAAGAATGTTCATAGTTTGTAGGAGTCAGAGAAGAGCCATGAGGATGGCTAAATAATTAGAAAACAGAGCTCAATCTACTTATAGAAAAGTAGAAACTGATCAAATTCTCCAAGTACTGGCATGGGGAACAACTTTGATAATGGAGTGCTCTGCTATGTAGCAGACCAGTAAACAGCTTTCATTAGTGACCAGACCAATTTTTTTTTTTTCTTCAGTAAGCTGAAAACGTACACATCTTTGTACAACAGGTGAGTCTTTAAAAACGTGTTTTCAATAGGTATGTATCTTTGGAAGGAGGGGAAGGGGGGTGGAATTATGCAACAAGACTATGTGTGCGTGTGTGTGTGGGAAGAGGGGGTGTTGAGATCAGCAAGGGTGACTACAATCAAACAAGAACAGTTTTAAAATGAACCGAGATTCAGCCAGACATTGATTTGGGGGTTCTGTGTTTGTAATATTGACTCAATACAAGACACTCCAACAATGTTCAAAGGGCTTCTGCTGACAGAGTGCCCCTGTCCCCCCCACAAACGAATTTCAGCTGACAAGGTTCTAGCAAGATCCACAAGCCACATGCTATCTTTCCCTTTTTTCCTCCTGATTTCAGTCTATGTCAGTTAAAACTGGAAACTCAGCTTGCAGATATGGAGCAAAAGCAGCAGAAGAGACTCTGTACAGGAAGTACAAGTGATAGGCTACAGAAGAGGTAAGTTAAGGGATCCCTTAACTAATGAACATTTGAAAAACTGAAAACTCAAACTCTGCAGCTCAGAGATGGAAATTATTCATTTGCAGGGAGAAACGAAGTTGATTGAAATAGTCTGTCTTGTATGCCAAGAACAAAAGTCTTGTTTTCCTACCTGCATCATTTGTCCATTATGCAAACTGAGCTATGTGAGGAGAATAAATTAAAGTAAGAGATCTGCCATTTCAACAGTATGATTATGTAAGAATGGATGGATGCACAATATATGTGAAGAGACTTTAAAAGGTTTTTCCTCCCTTCGTCTTCTAATGCTTATTTAACTCAAAGCCTGATTTGTTAAATCACTTAAATGAAAAGCACACTATTTTTAATGAACTTTGATCTGCTAGTCATATACATTCAAATGTTCACCTAGGTCCTAGTCATCAGAACAGACTTCTAGCTGGGAACTGGAGCAAAATGGTAGCTTCCAATGAAAATCAGTTCAGTTGCAAAGATATCAATACTAAAGGTATTCCTATGAAACATTTTGAAAATTTGTTTTTAATGTATACATTCTTTAGTAAACATTTAAGTAATGTTTAACTACTGTACTTTTTCTTTAGGTTTATAAAAGGAGCTATCCAAAAGTTTTCATTCGTCTCAAGTCAACTCAGATTACTATCTTTGTACCAAGCACATGAATCCTGTACACTTTCCCAGATGAAAAACAAAAACTGAGAGCACACAGTAACTATCTAATTACACATCACAACCACACTTTCCATACAGGTGTGCAATATAAACCATTTCAGAAAAATTACAAAAACATCATATTATGAAAATATTTCATGCATTTAAGAAAATGAGACTTAGTTTCTTTAAACAGTATTGGTTTCTCTTTCTGTTGAAGGTACCTATGCATGAAATGTATTTTATTATTTTGCAAATTAGCCATTCCTTGCCTTGGGTAAAAGTAAAAGATGACAATCTAAATAGATAACTCAGTTTCCATTCATGGATAAATTTCATTATTACTGTTTCCTTTGGAGCATCTGTTGAATAAAAACAAATGTCTAACTTTCCAAGATACTCAATCCATACACAAATGAAAAAAAACCACTACAAGTAGATGAACAACTAAATGGATGACATTTAAAAGGGATGGCTGGAAAGGTTCAGACTGCTGTGCAAGCTAGAAGCAGCAGCTTGCTGCAAGTAAAACACATATAAATTGCTATGTTGAACAATTCAAGGACTTATACTGGCAATCCAGAACTGTCAATACCCTTCCAAAGGCAAATCCTAAATCAGTTTTTATATAGTTGTAGTCAATGCATCATTTTGTAAAGGTCTTTAAGTCCTTTTTCAGAAAGCCACGTCTAACAAAATGTACAGGGTGGGACCACTATTAAACATTTGGAAGTTTACTGTACATATGAATTTAAAGACCTGCTTCTGTCACACTGAGAAGTAGCAAAATGGAAATCTAATTTACAAGAAGCAATGCATATTACATGACTATGTTAAACATCTTAGAAATCCTTGTTGTAAATATTTCAGTTCTGAAGTTAGTTTACACGGAACTGATAGGCAAAGCTTTTGTATTACTCTCTCCTCAGTGAGTAAAACAATACTATCAAATTGCTCAATTTATCATTCATAACAAATTTAGAATAGAATTGAACAAAATTTCTGAACATGTAAACAAACTGCCATGTTCCTGATGCAGGTATTAGCACCTGCATAAGTTAGTATTCATTTATTAGGAAAGTTCTCAATAAGGCATGTCTTTAGTACAATTCAAACCAGCTTGTTTCTTTAACTATTATTTCTGCTTTGCAAGCAGAAGACAATATTGGATGGTTGATCAGTGCCATTTGTCACAACTGTTACCATTTCATTTCTCTGCCACAAAAATGAAAGCCAATCATATCAAATAAACCATGGCCTTTCTTTTACAGAATTCATCACGTGACATTAATGATGGTCCTTACCAAACATAAAAGTTTTGTAGAGCATATTTACAGTGTACATGGCTGAGCATGGACCATTTATAGATACAAATATACTTGCTAATTTGATACCATGTAGTTAACACAGTGCCTGAAAATAATATCTGAAAACACCATTTTAAAAAAAATCAATAGTTTAAAGTGGGAAAAGGTTCTTTATTTTACAATTGCTATAACTGCATGAAATTTCTTATAAAAACACCAATCCCTTTCAAGAAGTTTAGATGCATATTCTATAACTATAGGTTAAGGCAGTAAAAAAAAGAAAAGAAAAAAGTGTACTCCTGATAACCTGTGATCTTGATGATGTCGATTAAAAGCAGTCCAAAGCCGTTTTTCAATTTGCCACCAAATGCTTGAATTAGTGTATAGTTTGTGAATGAAAACGGATTATCTTGCTATTTTTTGTTTTAACCAAGAAAAAGGGAAGAGAAACAGGTAAGTTAGTAAATGCTAAAGGAAAAGGACATTTTGCATTTATAGTTCATTTTTAAGTGTTAAAGAAAAATCAATCAGGAGAAGAGTTTTAGCTGCGAATCAGAACCCACCAACCAAATAAAAAAAAGCTATATGCTGAAGCAGAAAACAGTGGAATTAATTTTATGCACATTGCTGCATTCTTAAAAATATACTGTTACTTTGAACAATTCAAGTAATGTAAGAGACTATCAAAAATAACTTCATGAACCACTCAAGCTTTAATCACATTCTCAAACTTTTAACCAAAAGCCATTTTATTATGTTAACTTTGTATAATAAACCATAAAGGTTTAACTGTACAAATGATTTTAATGATTTTATTTGCACTTGTGATTCCTTTAATGGTTAGCTGCTTTGCTAACCAACATATTGTAAAGATATGGCAGATTACGTATTTAATCAAAGCACTTTGATTTAGGCATGAAACAGATCCAAATGGTAGACATTCTGTGTTTCTATATACCACTCAAAAGAGGGTCAAGAAACATCCACTATTATACAGACAACTATTTTACAGAAAACCCTTCCTTAAAATTAATCCTTTATTCCCAGCTGCAGATGAGATAGGACATAATCTATTGTAAACAGGGCACTGTGTTGTAAAACCAGTTTGTTTTTTTTGTTTTTTTAAGTTAACATCTTTCACCATAAGTTGGAAAAACAGACTCTTCAAAGTGTCTCTCCAGCATGTAGCATGTTCTGCTGTTTTCTATAATCACAAAGTTACTTTCCTTGGATTCCTTTTTAAAGATGGTTGTGTTCACAGCAGTTCTGTTTTAAAAATCAGTTGAAATTTATATAAAATTCTGTACATGTTCACAAATTATTGCATAAACAGCATAATCTTCATGACAGTATTTCAGCAACATATGTCCATCTCAGGAAATTCACGTTTCCCTTCTTGCTTTTTTCTTCTTTTTAACTTGTTTGGGGGACTCCCAGCTTTCTTCAGACTTGGCTAAAAAAGTTGCAATAAAAAAAAATGTTCCTTAAGCTTTGTAGAAAATAATTTGAGCACAAATTGCTTAAATATTGATCAGTACATTCCATATTATTGCAAGGTGTTATACAGGAATATAAAATAAAGCATGTTTTTAAAAGAACAGCTTTTTAAAGTTATACTTGGCTATCTGTTACAAGGAAACTTAACTCCTCTGCTAAATTAAATATTGAATAACCCAAATTAACATACAGTACTGAAGCCCATCATGGCAGAGAGTTAACCAAGATATTTTTTTTTTTTTAGTAGCTACAAAACCGATCTTCGCATACTGAGAAATACTTACTCTGTAGAGGAGGCACACTGTTTTGCTTAATATTAGAACTTGAAACATCTGTCTCTTGTAGCATCTGTGGCACTTGGGTAGTGATCTTGTCAGAATCACTCTCTGATACAATTACAGATGGCTCAGTAGAAACAGCAAGTGAGGGAGCCTCCCCAGGCTATTTTAAAAGGCAAACATTTTTTTCAGGTTAAGCTAAAAAAAGTATCTTTTTCACAACAAAGATTTTTATGCAATTTTGTTGTATACTTAGTCTGTTGAAAAATCGTTTACCAGAATTGTAAGACTAAGACTGCCCTCTAGTGACAAAACTGACTACAAATTCAAATCAAATCAAATCCAGATTAGACTCTTTAAAAGCAATTCTCAACCACAGTGCCCTTGCACCCTGGGGCACCTTGACATCTTTTCAAGAGTGTTTTGGAGTGCCATGCAATATTAACACACTTAGGTATGCAAACATCATTTCACAAAATACCCAGAGATTTCAAATACAAATCTGTCGTGTTAAAACAAAATAAAACAAAACAAAAAAACCCCAACTCACATTTTGTGGCCTTTGAGCTCTTTACAGAAGAAAGGCGGATGTGTTACTTTTTTTTTTTCCATAGTCAAAAAAATGTGTGAAAATAAAGACCTAGCTAGCATTTTCTAAGGGGTGGTTCAAGTCTAATGAAGGGTGACTCGAGGCTACTGAGGTGGAGAACCATAGCCTTAAAATTTAGAGCAAGAAAAAGAATCTACTGAAAGGAATCTAGCAAGATTATTAGGTTCTATCATTATGATGAGAAATAATAAAAATTCCAATCAGATATCAAAGAGTATTTTAAGCATATAGGACTTGAGAACGTGGAAAGATCACAAGAAATCTTTTATTATAACTTTTTTTTTTTTTTTTTTAAAGAAATGCCTAATAACTTGAGCAGTATTGAAAGTCTATATTGACCCCTGCTTTCCACATTCCTATGATGGATTTTTTGGTATCTATTACCAAGTCTCCATATTCTTCACTTCTGTTATGTCAAAACAGGATTTACAACATTATCCTGATTCTTTTTGTTCCCTACCTCAGCTGGTTCACTAGTGCTCATGGTCTTCAAAGAAAAAGCTATTTCCTGTTGGGGTTGAGTTTTTGAGGTATCCTCCTGAAATTCATCTCCAACTTCTCTATCCAGTTCTTCAGCATCCTGCAAAGAAGACAGGGGTGAGCCAAGAACTGTAAAGGGAGTCCCATGCTTTTGTACCTGTAACTCTCAGTTTTCTTAAAATTAACCAAACTAGCTTTCATGACATTAAGCTAAAGGAAAGAAATAAACATTCCCAAAAGTTTAAAGAAAATATTAATATAATTCAGGTGGACATCCACTGTATGCCAGCATTATATACAGTTTCTAGAATGCAGCACAACTATTGAAATAAGATTCAATAGTGAACTATTCAACTATTGAAACAGTTCAATAGTGAAGGCAGTATCTTAGGCAAATTTACTGTAGACAAAATAGTTCAATTCCTGCAATAAAACAGATTTTTCTCAAGGCTTCTCAAACGGTTAGCTACAAAGGTGACCTCTGGAACTTCTATCCCTGCCAGATAGCAACTAACTTCTTAGATTCTCCTAGCTGTCTCCAAATCATGGGCACTTAAGATTTTACATACACTAAGCTACTTCTATACCTTCAATATAAAGTTAAAACAGCCTTTCACAATATTCTGCTGCAGACCTGCCAAAAGATCTTCCATCTCTTTTACTTTTTTAGCTATTAAAATTTTCCATCAAGAAGATGATCTTCAAAAATATAGGGGTGAGTGGGCTTCCTTTGCAAAGGAAACCAATGATTGCTAAACGGCATCCTTAATGGAAATAAGGATCCCAATTTATTTGAAAGAAGGATATAGTTCAGATTAAACAAAACTGAGTTTGAGACCACCACCTATATTTTCCTTATGTTTCATGAATTCTGCTGATCAATTAACTTGCACTTAAAATGAGGGACTATTCAACAGAATTGAATCATGTTGACAGTAAAATAGTCATGCAACTGTATGTAGCTAGCATTAGGATTTATGACAATCAAGCATTTTAAGAATCGTTATTTATTTTATTGCTGGTTGTTAAGATTTGAATGCTGAGAAACAGTGCATCTTTCATAACTTCCAAGAATTTTGCCTGATGAGTCAGTATTAAAATGAAAAGGGATATGTATATTTTTGTACCTGTGCAGGAGAACAAGCTTCTTCACCTTGCTTCTTCTTTTTCTTCTTCTTTTTCTTGGATTTGCCACTGGCAGAACTCTGAAGAGTTGGCTCTGCTTTTTCTCTCTCATCATCTGAAGCCTTAATATTTAAAGCAAGAGACTGGGTCTATAGTAAGCATTTCACTACTTTTCATTGACACAGATTGTGAGCAAGTACATCTCTTGTATAAATTGTATTTAATGATACAAGTGGACAGATTGAATTGAAATAGTAAAATTAAGGCCATTTTGGAAAGAAAGCCATTCTTTACAGGCTCTGGCAAGTCATTTGCTTTATGTGATTAAGAACAAAGACATGGTAAACACTATGATGACAGCTCTTGGTATTAGCATAAGTTATTTTGTGTTTGTTTGTTTTTCCTACAATGAATACCCTTCTCCTTTGTAAATTTTTTTCAGGGTTTAGAGAGTAGATTCAATAAGCTATAGTGCAGAGTTTAAAAATCATCTCATTCACCTGGAGCTGTATGGGGTAGGGCTTGCAGAAGCTACGTGTAAAAACAGAGCACATGGGATCAGCAGTTCCCTGACCATACAAATCATGGGCTACATACAGGGTAAAATACTGGCAAGAGAGTATTACAAAGAAAGATTTGCATCCAATAGAGAGCAACAGTGAGCTGGTTTCAAAAGTGAATACTTCATGCACTGTGACGCCATAATTGTTTGCTAGAAAACTAAACAGATGAACAGTGGAATCTAATCAATTACTGAAAATACTTGATGTCTTCCTTCTTGATTACATTTTTGCCATTAATAATAATAGCATAGTTATATTTAATAACTGATGGGTGCACGCAACCTGAGAATTAGACTCTGTGTTCCTGCCACATGCACTATACCCAGCGTGGCGAAACTATGGCACAAGTGGCAAGGGCAGTCTCTCTGTGTGGCATGCAAACGGGGACAGGCAGCACAGCAACAGATAGGGCAGGAAGCAGAAGGCAAAGCAGGAAATCAGGTAGGAAGCAGGGGTCAGGAAGTAGAAAGCTTAGCTGCAAACTGAACAAAGGAAGGAGACCAGGGTAGTACATAGGATGGACACTACAAAAATGCAAAAAGTTGGTAAAGTCTAAGTTATGGCATTTTGTAGGGAATAACTTAGGTTGTCATCTACCTTCTGAACATCAGATGATAATTCTTCATGTTGTGCAACAGAAGCAGCCTTTTCTTCATCTACCCAATTTCCCCATTCTTCTGCTGGTGCATTCCAATCAGAGCTGGGATCAGCAGAAGACAGTCCATCTACAAAGATTAGAGAGACAGATTTTAAGCAGAGGTGCTTGTTTTACTGATCTGGTTTCCATCCCAAAATTAATGTACTGATATTCTTGCACACTATTTTTATCCAAAACGTGCAGGCCTTTGTTCCATTTTGCCATTGGTTTATTTCAGCAATGACTGCACAAATTTATGATGGTGGTCTATTATCATTACCTTGAGTGTAGTTATTGGCAAACAGTATGAAAGAAGTCTACAGCCTATAACACCGTATGCCAGGTAATTAACAAGACAAAGATTCTCTTATTCTCAGTATACCCAGCATAGAGCAAAGAGATATAAACATCATCTGAAGAATCAACTATGGTAAGGTTTAAAATAAAATTTAAAAGTTCCTATCTACCTTTCACCTAATTTAAAAAAAAAAAAAAAGAAGAATATACTGAACTCAGGTAAGTGACAGACCAATGATTAGGAGAAAGTTTACACAGAGTATACAATCTTTTCCTCTATATATCCAACTGTACCAGTATTATGTACCGTCAAGACTAATCTCCTTCCTACCATGGGCAATGAGTTGGCTTATAACTGATCTATGGTCCAATTACTGACTGACGAAACTAAAAAAAAATCTTTACCAAAAATACTGGCTTCTCACTTGCAGGTCCCCAGAAAAATCTATTCATTCTTTTCTATCATTAAAGCTCAGTTTTGGGTATGCAACAAACTCCCTTATTTTCATCTAACCTGAATTAGAGAACATAAGTGTCCACAACCTATAGGCTGAGCTCTGGCTTCCATCACCACTGTGCTTCTGTTGCTTGCCATTTGTGACAATATGACCTTGTTAAGCTTATAGCAACAGTCAACAGGATAACATTTTCTGGGCAGCAGCACAATGTAATCACTTTCTAGGCGAATGAGCTAATAACATGCACTATGTTGATAGTGAGAGCTACCATATTTATCTTACATTCATATAAGAAAACTTCATTAAATACACTCTCCATCACTAAACTGCTGCCAAAGCAGCATGTGCTCAGTAATGGAAACCAACTATGAAGCTAATTAAATGCAACCAACAGTAAGTATGACTATACAACATGTGGCCCATAATGGGCAAAAATACTGAAGGGAACCCACCACAAGAATAGGTTACTGCAGCCCAAATGAATATCATAGGTGGTACTGCCCTTAGCTCCCCTCAGCACCAATGCTTTTTCAAGTTATTGCCAGCTACTACATCAACTACATTTTGACTTCCTCTTCACTCCCACAGCTGAGTTGCACCTCTTTCCTATTTCCAATGATCCCTGTTTCTTTAATAGCCTTAAAAGTCTGACAAAACATCACCAAACAGGGGCCCCAAACAGTTCACCTAGAATCCTTCTCCGTTACCCCCTCTCACAGTCTGTCACATACAATTAGCGTGGCTCCATGAGGTAGAGCTGGAACAGACTGCCCCGCGCCTCATCTAAACATACATTTTTGGACGCACAAACAACAACTCCCAGTTCCAGTCCTGAGTGGGGGGCCAATTAACACATGGTTCCTTTGTGGGTATAGGGGGGTGGTACCTGGAGTGCGCACACCTACCGAGCAGTTCTGAGCCACCCCTTGCAATTCTATTGACACTGGTGGGGCCTGGCCCAATGAACTATGCGGTAAATCACGAGCCTTTGGCTTTGGATTAATATCATGTGGTGTTTGTACTATACATAAATAGATTCAGAAGTGCTGCTTAAAAGTGTGTTTAAGGAATACTTTTGCTAAAGCCTGCAGCAGTCTCAAAAAAGGTAAAATGCATCAATTCGGGATGAACTACATCAATGGGTACCTGTAGTAAACTGCCTATACGCAAATTACCGTAAAATATTTACTTCAAGTGTTTTTAAATTTGCCCCCTCACTTCCATGTGCTCAGAGAAAGCAGGATATGACAGTAAGGGGGCAGGGAGAGCCTGCAGGGGAAAGAAATTGGGGGG